GAGGAAAATAATAGAAAACAGCTTAACCCCTTGATACCTATTGTTGCAAATATGCAACAAACCATATTCTATGTTGAACAGTTTGTTTCAGCTGTGGCTGGTTTTAAAGCTCCACATTATTGCTGTTGATGATGTAGTTGTTGTTATCGATGAAGAACCCATATTACTCAAACAGCAAACATAGAAGGTGTGGGGCGTGCTTTAGCGGTAAGGCAAGGCAAGGCAAGGCAAGGCAAATTTATTTGTATAGCACAATTCAGTACAAAGACAATGCAAAGTGCTTTACATGATTAAAATACAGGAAGATAAAACAGAATCAAAGCAAGTAGGAAAAATAAAAAAAATAAATAAAATAAAATAAAAAATGCAGGAAAAAAAAGAATATTAAAAACAGTTGGATTAAAGGAAATATGTTTCAGTTGAACTGTTTAACTAGAACAGTCGAAGGCAATCCTAAACAAATGTGTTTTTAGTCTTGATTTTAAGGAACTCAGGCTTTCCGCTCTTTTACAGTTTTCTGGAAGTTTGTTCCAGATAAGTGGAGCATAGGAACTAAATGCTGCTTCTCCATGTTTAGTTCTGGTTCTAGGTATGCAGAGCAGGCTGGAGCCAGAAGACCTGAGTGGTCTGGAGGGTTGATACACTGATAGCAAGTCTGTGATGTATTTAGATGCTGAGGCATTCAGAGATTTATAGACTAACAGAAGTATTTTAAAGTCTATTCTCTGAGATACAGGGAGCCAGTGGAAGGACTTTAGAACCGGGGTGATGTGCTCTAGCGGTGCAGTGGAATCTGACCTGAGGACCTTTGCCGCATGTCTTTCACCTCTCTCATACCCCCTTTCCTGTCAGCCTACTGTCAAAAAAAAAAACAGCCTCTAGTGCTGTAAAAAATAAAAAATTAAAATTTAGAAAGTGCACTCCCCCAATATCAGTGGGGACATAGGAGCTTTGGGCAAGCACTTTTTTCTAGTACAACTGTTGTTAGAAATTTGCACTTGGGCTAAATTGCTATCTTTTTTTGTGCCATAGTCAAAGTAACAATCTCAATTTGATAACTACTTAAAGGCAAAAAACATGTGCAATCATTTTACATACATGTATGTGAATTCAGGTGTCAAGGGGTTAAAAAAATTCTTGCAACTGTCAATGAGAACACTTAAATGTGTATTAACAATAATAATTTTGAATGCAGTTATACACTACTGAAGAAGTGCTGAACTTCTCTGGACAAACAGAAAAATGGATAAAAACAGAAGCAAAAAGAGGTATGAAATTTTCCTATGTTCAGCCTGTTAAATCTGTCCTAATTTTAAAATGTTTTACTTCAAACAGCATTCTGTGAATTTTAAGCATATTTGGTTTTATTAAGCTCAGGATAATTCTTCCAAATTCTTTCATGATGATAAGGGTCAGTTTCTTCTTTGAGTTCAGGCCTTTTTTAATGATTTTAGGTGCATTAAAGAAATAAAAACAACTGAAAAAAATCACAAAGTCAGACTTATTCTTGCAACTTTTCATAGAATGAGAATAGTTCTACGTCGCATTCCCCATTGTTGTATTTCCTTCCTTTTACTTTGTTTCCTCTTTGTTTTAATCACACATAAAAACTTCTGTCTTTTTCAATGTTCCTCAATGAATGTAAAATACATTTATCTTAGGTGGAAGTATTACAAAATACCAGAGTTCTTTTGGTATTTTTTCTTCTTTGTGAAATAAGAACCATTTATTTCTATAAAAGTCCATATTGTCATGTTTGGTATTGCTTCAATCATATTAAACACACATCTTCATAAAAAATATGTGTGTATATCAACTCCAATGCTTCAATTAATATATTAAGGCAATACTCTTTTGAAGCAATTGGAGTACGGTATATAAAAAAAAAAAAAAAAGCAATTATTTCATGACTGAATGTGAGTTAACTGTGGATATTAATATAATTATTTGTTTTTGAATATAACTGATTGAAAGGCCAACTTATAACCAAACATCTGCTACAGTAACTACAGATGTAAACTAATAGATGTTCTGCCATATTGATTCTGTCTTCTTTGTCCATCTAAGCTGTTGAGGTTTTAAATAGAGTCAGACTAATGAAGATAATAATGTATCTGACTGTGTCTGACTTTTAATTAGTTTAACCCTAACCTACTGTATGTATCTAGCTTTTTAAGAGAGAGACTAAATGTTATCAGTGTCTGAGAAACTTTTCTTTGATTTGAGTTAATTTTACTCAAATTTCCCATAAAAGACATTTTACCGAAATGGCAGAAGAAGTACTGAATTGAAGTAAAATGTTATTTTTAAAACTTTTTTAGGCAGTCCCTTTGCTCCAATTTTAAGTTTGAACCAAAGCCAAGACAGGGATTTACAGTCTGAACTTCTCTCTGAGCTCTGTTCTGTGATAGTATCTGAGAGAAGCGAAAGTGAAACACATCAGCTTCTTTAGATCGGATCAACTAACAAAAACCGTCCTTACTAACTGCAGCATGGGACAGATAACGTGCATAAACAGAGCTTTTTTTATTTTCCTTTTTTTTTTTATTAACCTTTATTTAATTAGGAATGGTTTAAACATTTGAGTTAGTAAGGCAATTTGGGAAACATGACATAAAATCTTAAAAGTGACTTAAAAAAACACAGTGATCCAGAGTTACATTTAACTTAGGCCTTTGAAGGTTATTGAATAGTTTTCTTTTTACTAAACAAATATTAGATCCAGCCCGGTGACATGTCACATTTAAACATTTTCATATCAAATATATTTTTTCTTATTAACTTATTAATAAAGTTATATCTACATCCATACATGGACAAATAAATTAAATTGAGGGTAACTGTCTGAGGAGTGTATCTATTTTTCACTTTATGTGCACGTCACCACGCCTGCAGGAGCCGTTCAGTCTTTGTTGTGTTCCCGTTCTACCTCAGTGGCAACCCCAGCTTAACGTACCTGGCCGTCTCAAACAAAACCGGTAGAATTGCAAGAATCCTGTCTGATTGCACTAAACATGCACAGACCGGTGCAAGAATCCTCTACAGGCCGTCTGCCAGCCAGGAATGTGACTCAGTGATGTCACTAAAGCAGATAGTAACCACTGTTCTGTTATAGATACCTTACAAAGTCCAACTTTACCTTACCGACTTTACCAACTTTAATATCTTCTCTGCAGAAATAGGAGGCTTTTTATGAACTAGTTGCTGAGAATTAAAATATCTAAACAAAAATAGTTTTAAAAAAACTGGCTATAGTACATTTACTCTGTAATATAGAAAATGCTGTTACCTTTTGGGTGTTAAAAAACATCTAGTTTTTTATGCCATTCTTTTATCAGATAATATTAAAATGCATAAAGTTCTGAATTTTATATCAGTTTAAAAGTTTGCAAAGTACTATTTTCATTATTATTATTTATTATTATTATTATTATTATTATTATTATTATTATTATCATTATTATTATTATTATTATTTCCCAATAAAAATTAGAATATTCATAGATATATCATTGTATAATGCATATATATCTTTATATGCATCAAAATATCTATACCTGTAGGAGATTAAGATTTAAAACTATCCTAATTAAACATTTGGATTTTATGATAAATGCTGCAGTTATCGTTGTTTTTTTAAGGTTTCTGTTTACACTTTATCTTAGAAAACAGCATTAAAATGATCTAAAACATTCCCAGCAATGTATATTAAAAATATTTGTTTGTAATGAACTCCAAAACAGAGTCTGGAAGGCCTCCTGCTATTAAATCAGATTCAAGTTGTGATTCTGATTTGGAGATAAATGCTAATATGAATTTTAGTTAGCAGAAACAGTAGAATTACACCTATATCTACCAGGGGAAGCACCAATTCTGAGATTTAGTGTAATATTTCATAATAATATGAAAAAGAAGAAAATTTTCTATATATAATTACTATAGAAGCCCTTTGAGGCCTGAGCTTTGTTTAATCTCTTAAGAAAAATGAGATTTACCCCTTTATATTTCACTGAAAAGCAGTTCAACCTTTTGATAATCAAATAAAAAATGAAATTTTTTGAAAATAATGTCTGCAAAGTAACAAAGAGGAAAATCCTGTTGTTCCTTTAGTAGAATAGATGAAGCCGTTTCTTTTTGATCACAGGTCTGTGAAAGGTGACTCAGCAATGAATGGTGCTCTGGGTTTAATCATTAAAACAAGCAGGATGCCAGGATTAGATTCTTTAAATAAAGAGTTACAGGAAAACAATATAATTACCCATAGATAGCACAGCTCCTATAATAATTTACCAAAACCAGAACCACGTTGGAGACTGAGAAAAATGAATCCCACTGAACCTTTTAACTTTAGCAAACAGATTCAACATGTTTTCCTTCGTTCAGAGTCAGATTTTTGAGGGGAGCTTCAAGGTTTGCGATGTTTCTGGGAATTGCAAACTCTTCCTCCTGGCTGAGGAGATCAATGAGGCTTGAGGCCTGTTATGTTAAACGGCTAAATGGTTTTTCTGTTTGTGTTCAGGCTGATAAAATCTACGGACTCCGTTTAGATAGTCAACTGAAACCCAGAGCCAATCTAACACAATATCTATTGTCTCTTTCTGTCTCTGTAATGTAGATAAAAGACTTTTACCTTTATGTGGGTGAAAGTAACCAGTGAGTTTGCTAGAAGCATTTCTGCAGACACAGACGCCTAGTTTGTGGCACAGAAACATGCCTTGTGCTGCCTGGGTTATCAGGCCAGCCTACTTTGAGCCGCCATACAGGGGGGCACAATGAGGGCTTAGCTGATGGAGGGACCTCATGGGTAAATTGAGGCATTTAAAAAGAAGCTCTGTTCAGCGGTAACCTGATCCACACCTGACTGAGGCTCAGCATTCCGGTGTGTCCGAGGGAAGAGTTCACGATTACCAAGGAAGCTGCTACAGAAGGGCTCCAGAGAAAGTAAAAACTGTTAAAAGTACCCCCAAAAAGTAAGAAAAATAAAACAGACAAAAAGGCAATTTACAATTTAAGCTCCTTTATTAAATGTTCCAGTTTACATTGTAAAAATATTTTCACATTTGAAATTACAGAAAGATTTTGTGCATTGCAACCTCCACGGTTTTAAAAGCTATAAATATCATTTCTGGGTAAAATGAAAAAAAAAAACAAGTTGTTGCTGTTATAATGAAAAACGAATAAAGTTAAGTTATTGTACATCATTCTGAATGTAAAATGCATCAATCTTGCTCTGGACAGCAGCTTAAAGGAGAAACTTTGACTCATGACACATGGAAGAAGCCAAAAGAAATAAATCCAACTTCCAGTGCAAGGATCACAGTTCCACAGTCGTCCTTATTAAGCCCCACATGCCTCTAACTGTATAGACGTTCTTTTGCTTTTAGAGGCTTGGCTTCTGTCAACACCAACGCACTTCAGATGCACAGAGCAAGAGGAGGGGAAGTAAGAGAGCAGAAGGTAGCGCCATTTAATGGACGGCATTACCAGACAGTATTAGACACCAGTAATTACATCTAACCATGTCTGGTAAGACGCCTATCAACAGGCTGGAAGGGATGACTTCTGAGTGTTCATCTGTACAAAGAGGAAGAGCTGCAGGAAACAGAACAGTGTGGAAACAGGTTTGCCCCCTTTTTGTCTGGAGAATATATTTTTGTCCCTTTATGTCCGTTTGAACTCGTAGAGCATGCAGAGAAGTAAGTAAAAGCACAAGTAAACAGACTGAGGAACACAAAGAGAGTTAAGCTCGGTTAGCTGAAATCATTCTGCTGAATACAAAATATGTGGCAACAATACAAACATGACATGTAACAGAAAAAAAAGGTTATTTCATTTTCCTGTGGCCTGGATAATAGAGCTTGGTGGGCAAATAAAGGTGTGGCTCAATATTTGTGGGGGTATATCTCCCTCCTTTAACAAACACAGAGTTTATGCCTGCTCTACTCTTTTTTTTTTTTTGTCTGTGCGGAGGCTTTATTACTACATCTCTGCCTAGATAAGATAATGATTTAATGACACGTAAAAAACAATAATGCATCCTCAATTACTTTTTAGTTTTTAGTTACCAACAAGAGCTCTAATTTCATCCCTTTAAGTTTGTTTGGAGTCTGTTGTTAGCAGGTTTTGCTTGATTTTCTTCCTGTAGACAAGGCTTTGAGAGTCTGAGAGGAAGCAAGTTTTTTTCTCTCTCTCTTTAACCACCATCAGGTGAGCTCATGTGTCCGTTTCAGGATGTGCCACGCAGGTAAAGCTCTGCCGACCAATCACTGTTATACAGCACAAAGACTAACGCTGTTCAGGGGAGGGAACAAGGAAATGTCGCCCTGCAGGACCGGTGGAACCATCAACCGACTGCTATTCTTTAACTTGGGTGGGGTGAGGTTGCTACAACAGCTTTTTGTGTTGTTTTTTCTTGTGAGACAAGCAGAGGGGAAAAACACTGTGCTTGACATCTCTTCTCAGTTATAAAGTCTCTTTTTGGTCTAAATGTTTGTGTATTTTTACATAAACTATTATCTGTTGTTGTCTTTCTTTTTTAGTTTGAACAATCAACAATGCGAGGTAAAATGGCCGGGGGTATCTGCAGCACTAACCCTAACCCTAAACACAAGACCAAAAGTACACTTATTACACTAAAATTAAAAGTACCAAGTTTACTTTTAGACATGAGCCTCTAATGTAAAAAATAATGCTCCCAAGTGGAATCGGAGAAATATAGAAACCCAGGAAACATCGTTACCAGACAGTGTTAGAACAACAGTTGTACAATCCAGCACTGTCAGGTAAGATGGATCCTGAGAACCACTTCTATCGTCACTCAAGCGTCAGGCCGGATCCCGGAGGTTCAAGAGGAACAGGTCGCTGCTAACTCTGCAGAAAGCTGTTTGTCTGGTTGGAGTCAGCAGATGATTATCATCATCATTACCAGGCAGTATTAGAGAAAGGGATGATATCCAATGCTGCCTCGTAAGATGGAGATAGTCACCCAAACACATCCCCTATCTAAGCTTACATTAGCAGCAGAGCTTAAGGCTGAAAACATGGAAAAATGCTTTAAATAATATGAGGTGATGTTAGTTTAATTGTTTTAAGGTTAATGGAAACTGACTTTTTTTAAAAAGCCAAAGTTTAACTGAAAACTTTTTAGTTCAAAACAAAAAAACAACAGCAATGGAAGAGACTGGTCTGCCTGACCTATTTTTGAGTTTATAAACATGACCTGTAAGGCATTTAACTTTAATTCCTGTCAAAATGTATCGTTTAACTATACTTTTGTCTAAGAAGAGAGCCTTAAATGACACACTTTTCCAACCTTTGATTATCTCAGTGTCATTTTTTTATCTTACTTTTCTGGGCTACATAAAGACAAAGACTGGCTGACATGAAATGGCCGAAAGATAATCATGGACATCCGCTGTCTAACTGGAAGAGCGTGACGCCATCAGGAAGGGTGAGAGCAAAGCGCCACACGAGCCAATACAGTCGGTGAAGGAAGCGTACAGACATGGGGGAAACACTCCAACACTGAGTAACTGCTGAAGCTGTGTTGTGATGGGGGTTTACCGCTTAAACCTGCTGTCACAGAAGACTGGGCCACAGAGGTTGTTAATGATTGCCAAAACCTGTTCTGACTAGTCTAAATCTAAGGCACCACTAAGGTTGGGAGGGCTTCTTCTCACACAATACATGGCTGTAAGTAATTTCAAAAGTGCCACCAAGTTTATAGACAAACGGCAGGGAGCTGGTTAGGTTACATAGCTTACTGTATGCAAAGCTCTTTGAGTTTAAACTGCAGCAGGTTTCTTTAGAAATGTCTGTCTCAACATATGCTCAAAGAGAAGGATAACTGTCTTTTCCTTTCCACCCTCTTTTTTTTTTCGTTGGCAGACCTCTCTGCCCCGTTGTCTTTGTGTTTGCCGTGTGATGAAAGGCCGATGGAATGCTGCTCGGCTCGACCTGAGCCAACGGTGTGTATGCAGAAGGTCATAGAAACAGCCTTCGTTTACTGAATAACACGGATCTTTCACAGGTACAACGCGTGAAGTCCTCACACCCTGTGCCAGCATTATCGGGTTTTACGCTTATGTTCCCTTTTTCCCTTAGCAAACATGCAAAAATTATCCTTATTTACTTATTAAAGTCAGTTTATATCATAAATACTGCCTTCAATTAGAAAAAAAGGTTTCAATAATCCTGTGAGTCTAAAAGCTGATTCTCAAGGAGAGGGGGAGGGATAAAGACAAGGCTTTAAGGGAGGGAAAATTCAGGGAAAAGAAGGTGGAGAAGGAAAACAGAGAATGCACCTGTAACCTTACCGTCGTGAAAGGTACCCCACGGAAAGAATGAAACAAAACCAAAGTAAAGAGAACATGTTTAGAGGGAGGGGACTGAAAAAGAAAGACAGAGAGCCAGAGAGAGAAAATAGATCTTGAGTTTCCAGCCGGCTGCTTGAGAACGCTCCGTCTTCCCTCCAGCCGGGCAGGCCCCCATGAAATGAGAAAGTCAAGCAGACATGCTCTCCCAGACTCTTAGTTAGTTAATCATCAGCATTATAAACCAGCACTGCAGGCCCCTCTGAGGAAGAAAAGAGGAAGAGATATAAAGAATAGGTAAGCCCAGAAATAAACAAGCAGGTAGAAACAAAGCAGTGGAAATAAAAGTACCTGAACAAAGTGGAGCTTGTTCGTATCATTCGACTCATACGTCCTATCAGTTTGTCCTCCTTTCGTCCAAAAACTTCCTCTCCCGATCATGGCTATTTTCTGCCTTTTTTTTCTCCTTGCTTGTTTTTTGCCCAATTGTTGCTCGCGGTGCTCAGGGTTGTGGGAGTCTGAACGGCGACCCACGCTTCTTTGCCTGCTGGTAGCGAGGCGTGATCAGGTAACTCTGCCCTCTTTGCTGGAATGTGACTCTGCTGTGAAGTGAACAACCCGATAGGTAAACCAGCCTGGCCCTTAATCAATAGTTGCTGTCTTTGTGAGAAAACAATGGCGGGGGGGAAACCCAAAACCTTATTTAACTCCTGGCCTTATCTCAACGCAAGCTAATTGGCCCCTCAGAGCAGCCGGGGTCCAGCCGAGCCACTGTGATATTTAGGCCCTGGAACTGGTTATCATCCAGGTGCAACTTGTTTTACTGTTTTTTTGTTAACATATTCAGTGATGTAGTTCGCTTTACATATCATTTGGTTGCTCCACCCCTACCTCCCACCCTTTGCTACCTCTGAATTTCCACTTCCATGATTTGAATATTTCAAATGAAAGTCTAAAATGTTCAACTGCTTTGACTTTCTGAACTTTTCCTTTAATTTCTGTGTTTTGTTTGATAATTTCATTTATTCTACTTTATGCATTTCACCTGATTATAATGCTTTAACTAAAATATATTTTGTTTTCTCCATAGTATTAGAAAATTTCAACTTTTGAATAAAAGCTATAAAAATCTAAAAAACTTGTAATTTTTTTTTTTTTATAATAAGCACTTTTTCTGTTTAGAATATCCCATTCTGGCCTTTTTTAATGGGCCCTAGTGAAAAAAATGTAACATTACTTCATATAACTTAGTGCTAAAATGTATTTTAGCATTTTATATATTATCTAATAACTTTTAGTCTCTTATAAACCTCTTATAAACTCTGCTGGTGTTTCATTAGTTCCAGTCAAAGTCGTCCCAGCTCATAATGCTGTGTCATTCACTCCTGTCTCACTGTTGCTGCTGTTTTAAACAAGCCTTTCTCCTCCTCAGGTGATAAAGGATAAACTTTCACTTGATTTCAAACTTGATTTCAACACTTTCAAGAGAAGTCCACCCAGCCAGAACTCTGTCCTGTACTTCCTTGTAGTTCGCCAGCAGAGTCGGCGGCTCTCATGTGACCAACAGCTATTCGAGTGTACAAAGAGAAATGAACAAATTTTTCCCTCTCAGCCAATCACAGCCCTCCACCTTGCCCCGTAGTCTTCTCCCTACTGTATTCAGTCGACATTTTCCCTCCATTTTGCCCCCCCTCTCTTTTTGTAGACGTTTGCTGTCGCCAGGCAGCCTTAAAGCGCCTTTGAAAGTAGTCCAGAAAACAAGATAATGTACACCTTCCAAGCTGTGGAAAACTCTCTGTTATGTTTAGTCTCTGCCCTGCCTGAACTTGCAGCGATACCTCAGAGGCAGGAAAAGTGGATGAGCAGACATTTTACATCCGGCTCGCATCCACTTCCCAACACTAAGTGAATGAGGCTATGAAGCTCCATCTTGAAAGCCCAAAAAAAAAAGCAAGCAGTAACTTGTTAAAGAAGGATTTTAAAGTAGATTAAAGGGTTTTAAGGCTTAACTGGTAAAGAGGAAAGCATCGTAAGGAGTTCCCTATGAAGCACTGACGATGTTTCTTAAAGTAACCAACTACAGCTGTTAGATAATTAGTTTATAAAGCAGATTCATACCGTAAAGCCTCGGATGTCTCTTCGTAAGAAAAATTGTGTGCTTTAAAAGAGGGATTCAGCGTCTATCTTCATATCCTTTGACAAGTCTGGCAGTTTGCCTTTACCTGCCCCAACTGGTCTATCCAGTTTAGGAATGAGCGTTGGCCTCTATTGTGTTCTCTTCTTTCTCTCAGCTTAAATGGAGTTGGAATTTGATCCAGTTATTATTTTCGCTTCCCATCGAAACTGCTTAAACCCTTGTTTAAAAGCAGGCATTGCGTCCCCACCCAAGGACTCCGTACAGCTATTTGATTTGTTTGCCACAAATTTTGCGTTCAAAGCAGCACACCTTAAAGTTTTACACCGTTGAGCAACAGGTTATGACAACTGCTGAAGACTTAAAGATGGTGAAAGAAGAAGACCAAGAAGCGATTTTTTTTTACCCCATCTTTCCCAGGTGCGGTCACTGAGCCAGAAACCCAAGACAAGAGGCAGCATTGTATGAGGGCTCTTGACGCCCCTGTTGGCTAGCTGCTCCCGCTGAAGGACGGTCGACCTCTGGAGCGGCGATCTGAGCGTAAAGGGAAAAAAAGGCTGTCCCTCTCAGGTAGTCTGCATCTGTAGAGACGGAGGATGAGCCAAGCCCCGGAACAAAACAAACCAGTTTGAGGCGCGTCACTTATCTTCCTGTCGCCGAAGCAAGGCTTAGTTTTTTTTTTTTCCATGCGCTCTCCTTGGCAGTCTGAAGCACTTAAGCTCCTCAAGAAGACAGAGGCTGAATTTGTAAAGGGCTTGGTTTACATGTAGCCTGAACCCCCTCCACCCACTTTTCCCCCACAGGTGTAATTTTCAGGTCGCAGCCAATCTCTTTAGCCTCTGGCGCTCACAGGTGCGTCCTCCGTGCCGTCTTCAGCCAATAGTAGAAGAGACTAAGCCCCCCCCATCCACCCCTGACCCCCCCGCTCATGCCCTCAAACTCCCACCTCACCGGTTAGCTCACCTCCAGCCTCCTCATAAGCCCCCAGGTACCTTGTTGTGTGTTTTTTATGATGTCAGCTCAAGCTTCTGTGGGAACGACCTCCTCTGTTCATATTACAACTCAGACAACAACTGCGCCTCCATCAACACGAGCTGACGAACACACCCATGATGTCTAAGCAAAGAAAATAAATTGTTAAGCCTAAAAGAAGCACAGGTCAAACTATATGCAATGCATCAACCTTTACCTTACTATAACCTGAGATACTTGCCCTTTGCTCTAATGACTTCCCTTCTCCCTCCTCTTGAGTCCATACACATTCTTTTTGTTCTGGGACAATAAGCTGGCTGAATTACAGCGAGCACTACAGCTAAACAAAGTGCAGGTGAGTAAAACCTGAGAGAGACACAGCGGCAGCTTTAGGTCAGTTAGAAATAGAGTAATGGGAGAGGAGGAGATAAAGAGCCTGCTGGGGATATTGACCCCTGAGGGCCCAAGAAGGGCCTTCAGCCTGTGTCCTGAATTGTACTGGATGCTGGCTGGGCAGAGCGGTCACTTTCGGTCTTCAGATTTAATTGTTGGGATTAAACCTTCAACAATGAGCACAATGCCAAAGCAGTATCCCATTTCTCCAGGGGTGTGGCAGTGGTTTCAGCTGAACTGCACTGCCAAAGATGGAAGACAAGAACTTTTTTGAATCTGCAAAAACGTAAAACAAACTGGCCTCTGTGTTTTGGATTGTTTGTTGATTTTACTGATCCCACAATATCTGAATGATTTATGATATTTATGGAAAGATATGACAAGGTCATTTACTCTGATTGAAAGTTATGGCCGAATACAAATCTTTTGCTCAAAGTTATCTTAGCAGGACACAGGTTTGTGATTGATTTTCAAGATCAGCGGGATCAGTATCATCCTCTATCATCATCTAAAAAAATAGATTAAAATACATTGTAGTGTTATAGTGAGCCATTGCCCACATGAAATGAAATTTTTTTAAAGCAACTTGAGAGCAATAATTGAATGAAAAAACAAGGACAAAATGCATTAAATATGTAATCTACTATAGTTGGAATGCTCTCAGACAATTTCCTTGAAATTAACAGTTTTACAACTCTTTCTTTGGCCTTTTAATTCTGCTAAAGTTTAAGCTCAGTCATTTGTAGTTATTAATTAACTTTTCTGTGCTTTACATTGGTAAAGCTAAGCATTTTTTAGGGGGAACAGATGGTGAGTTCCTATACTCTGAAAGGTTGGCTTTATTTAGACTTTTCATTTGCATACCAAATGAGTTTTGGAGTGAAGCACAGAGGCCTGACCTGAACTCATTTGGCTACCGATGGCTATCTGGGCAGCCAGTCACGCAAGACAGGATGTAAGAACATCCATCAGTAAGACTGAGCAACAGCTTCAGGATGTACAACAAACAAAGATACACATGTTTTGGTTTGCACACAAATGTTTGCAGTAAAGCGCAAATGTAAATCCATTATATTTGATTATTTGAATGCATTTGGTGCGCTGTCCTGAACTCAACATTTTAGGGTTTTAACTTTACCTGATTAATTTGGTAAATTATTGTAAGTTGTTGTGGATTCAAATATCAATGTATTGCTGTAACCAAAATCCACACTAGTTCATGTAACAGAGGCCTGGTATCCAGGGTATGGGTCACAATGTGACCAGCATCACAATATCAGTGACTGGTTTCCATTGTGTCAATAAAAAAGCTAGATTAACACCAAACTGTTGGGCTACTCTATAAAAGCTGAAATTCAACTCTATTGCAGACATTTTGAACTGAAAAAGCTTCTTAGATGGGAAGCAAAACATCTTCAAACTTTGAAAACAAAGTCCAATTGTTTGTTTTTTGTGGTTTTACATGGAAAAACATCAAACTAAACCTTAGTCATCTCAATCCAGCACATTTTATATTTTGTAAAATTAAAAACAACCATGCTCTATTATCTGTTTCTTATCAAATTATCTCAGTTATCCTACAAGATGAGATCCAGTTCATATTTAGCTTCATGCAAACCGATTCACAACAAACTCACCTTATTAGATAGAATTCTTTAATAGAGGTAAATTTTATGATAGAATGCTATAAAAAAAAAGTTGAAAAACAAACTATTGGACGTTTTGCTTCCCATCCAGAATGCTTTCTGAATTCAAAATGTCTGGAGTAGCGTTGAGTTCCAGGCTTTATAGAGTAGCCCAACAAAAGCCATAACATTCTAAGCCATAACAAGGCTTTGTTGGGCTACTCTATAAAGACTGGAACTCTCTTTATACTCAAGACATTTAAAATTGAGAAAGCTTCCTGGATGGAAGGGAAACGTCTTCAAACTTGGAAACAAACTCCGATGGATTTTTCTTTCACTTTTTTGGAATGACTATAACCTGGATGACTAAGAATCTTCATCAGCTTATTTATGACTCTTTGCTATATTCGAATGTCCAAATGTATGGTTCTTTGTTAGGTCCTAAAAATGAACAGGAGCTGTGGAATAAAGAAGATCCAGATTTTCTCTGTAGGTAACATTTCCATAGCAACATTACAGTCTTCCTGTTCAACACAAAAAGCAGTACTGTTGTTTGCTTTACATAGGCTGCAAATAGGAAACAAGATGCAAAAGAGAATGAGTGAGATATATAATCAACCAACATCATACAAACTTTCACATGTATAATAATACCAGCCATTAAATTCAACATATAACAGGTTTATCAAGGCATAAATAAAATACGGAAATCATGAGGAAATTAATGTAGCAGCTGACCGTAGATATAAACACCTAGATGTCATCAGTTTAAGCTTTTGCCCATTCGTTGGTTTTAAACCGGTGTTGAGGGCCCCACTAAGAGAACAGAACAAACTTGTGTGCTGCTAACAGATCAGTTCAACAAAAAAATGCAAAAAAGCAAAAACTCACAAAATAACATTTCACAAGCAAACGACTGAACAATATAATATTATTCTAACAGTAATACCTTTATGAAGCTGTGTTTCCCTCCATAGCATCAGGTACATTTCGATGAGCATCTGTCTGGCTCATGACTCATGATTCTAACATTCAATACAACTTATGCAATTACACAAAGTACATTTTGTCATGAAATACATCTTACCAACTTGTAGGCCAATTTCATTCATTTTCTTTGTGACAAGGACCATTTCCAAATAAAACATTAAGATAAATACATTGCCTTTTTTTGCCTGTTCACTTAATTTAATATGTGTAATTTTGGTGAAAAAATAGGTGTCAGCCATTTGTTCTCATAAAAGAAAAGTTTCCAAGCTTTTTAATGTAAAGGTTTTACATTAAGGTTTTTGTTAGTTTAGCATGTTTGTTTTTTAACCTTGAAAATTTTTTAAGCATA